CATGGTGAATTGAGCGGTGTAGTTCCATGGAGGTTGTGGCAACATGGTTTTTTTCCTAGTGGTTTGATGTTATTCAAGTGTTCTGGACGTGTAAAGAAAGGTAGGAACCATCTTTTATGAGTTTATGGATACATTAGGTCATGGATAGTAATTTACATTAGAAATTCGTATCGATTGTCGGATTGTCGAATTGTCGTAGTAATTCTTGTTCTTAATTATTGATTGATTTTACATTTGGTTTTAGTGTTGTAGTGGTGTGGACAAAGGTATTTTTCAGCATAAATTATAAAGGAAAAGGTAAGTTAAGGATATTTCCTTCGTTCGGCATGTTTCCTAGAGCTTAGGAGTGATATAATAGGGTATTTAATGTTGGTGATCTTGTAGATGTAATTGTGAGTGGTTTGCTAATTGAGTGGTTATAAACCCTCATTTTAGGGACTCATAATCTGTTAAGAACGACCCTAAGGTAGGAATGACTTGAAGACTATTCATATATATTATTTATAGCTAAATTGCTCACCTTTAGCCTATTTAATTGTTTGCTATCGCCCTTGGGGCTATTGTGGTTAGCTGTTGAGCTATGAACTGCCTATGAGGGCTATCATGTTTTCTAAGAAGACTATGTTATTGCCTAAGAAGGCTATGTGTTGCCCATGGAGCTATATTAATGCCAAAGAGTGTTATGTGTTGCCTACAGGGCTATTTTGGCGCCAAAGTGGGCTATGTGTTGCCTATAGGGCTATGTTGATGCAAAAAAGGGCTATGTGCAGCCCACATAGCTATGATGTTTCCTAAGAGGGCTATGTGCTACCTACAAGGCTATATCGTTGCCAAAAAGGGCTATGTAACTTCTTACAAAGACAAGAGGCTACCGATAGGGGTACGTAGATTGATTTGGCACCTTCTGGGCTTATGGGGGCCTAGGTAGGTGGTATGTTGTTTGTACCTGCCGAGCTTATGGGGGCTTGGTTAGGTTGTTGTTTGATCATTTTTTGTATTTTTAGATTCAGTAGTGGGTTAGCATGGTTAACTAAATTTGTATTTCCTTACCTGATTGCTTTTGGTATATTATGATACCTACTCATTTAGTCTATAGCTTTTCATACTCTGTACATTATTTTGTACTGACGCCCCATTGCCTTGGGGGTCCGTACATTCATGCATGCAGGTCCCGATAGATGACCCAGTAGACTTCCTCAGCAGTAGGATTGACTTCTTTCCGGTTTGCTAGCCTCTTTCCTCTAGAACTGCCAGAGTTGGGAGGTTTGTTAACGTTTGTTGTATATATTTTTATGGGTATACTGGTGCCATGTCCCACCAATCTTTACTACTTTTAGAGGCTTGTAGACTAGTGTGTGGGGGTGTATAGCTATGTTATGGCAATGCTAGCCTAGTTTGTTGGTTTGCTGAAGCTGGTTAGCTGTTTGATATATTATCTTGATATATACCTTCTTTTAGTTTTTGTATAGAGATCATGGTGGCCTCGACAGCCTAATCAAGACTTCTGTGCTAGTTGGCTATTTCTTCATACAAACTCTTGGGAGTATGTGTTTCTATTATAGATCTGTTGATAGGGGCCTTGCCGCCTGAGGGCTTAATTTTAAGCCGAGATATATTTGTTTGTTTTCTTGATTACGTGTGGCTGCCATGAGCTAGTAGCAAATGGTTCAAGAAGGTCGGCTCGAGCCTGAGTTTTGGCATTAGGAGCCAGTTGTGCCCCTTGAGTTTGGGGTGTGACAAACTTGGTATCAGAGTAACGTCGTATCCTAGGGAGTAAGCAAGCCTTGTCTAGTAGAGTTTTGTTTATAGATGTGTTGTGCACCACATTCGATAAGCAAGAAGCTATAGAATGACTATCCTTCTTTTTCTCACCTCATGCTATAGAGCGGTGTCTTAAGGGTTGAGGTTTCTGGCTTTTAATCTATATTTGTATAAAGATAAAAATGGTTGACACTAGCCAGACCACAGCTAGCCAGGGGCTAGACACAGCTGCAGGCGAGGGTACCAGCAAGGTACCACAGGTGGAGGTAGCCCATTGTAAGACCCAGTATGAGACATCTTCTTAGCCCCCTATAGCTTCTCCACAGCTCCAGGAGCCTTCGAGGGCTACAGGTTCCCCAACTGCACCAGCAGTACCACCTCTATTTCCACCTATTCCATCTGATCACGATTTCAAGAGTGCAGTATGTATGTTAGCACAGTTAGTAGCTGCACAGCGCCAACCAGTTGCGCCAGATGTTGCCGGACCTTCTAAACGGCCCGGAAGTTTGAGAGTTCATGAATTTCTTGCCTTGAATCCTCAATAGTTTACATGGATAGATCGCAGAAGTACCCTCAACATTTTGTTGATCAACTTTATGGGATCTTCAGAGTCATGCATGCCTTAGTGACTGAGTCAGGTGAGTTAGCAGCATTTTGATTGCGTGATATTGTAGTATTATGGTAAAAAAGTTGGGAGAGATCTAGGAGAAAAGATGCATCCCTACCCACTTGGGATACCTTTACAGAAGCTTTCATAGATCACTATTTGCCTCGAGAGATTAAGGATGCCCGGGTGGACTAGTTTCTGAACCTCAGATAGGCAACATGAGTGTCCGAGAGTACGGGCTGAGATTTGATTCATTAGCTAGATATGCACCATCATTTGTTGATATGATGTATGACATGGTGCATATATTTGTGGGAGGGCTTGACTCAAACTATATCGACGCTTGTTCTACCGCTGCACTAAATGATAACATGGATATCTCACCAAATTCAGGCCTTTGCATAGGGCATAGAGGATCGCCGACATCTACAGTATATGAGTGAAAGGGTCAAGAGAGAATTAGAGGAGGGCTAGGCCCGCTAGTTCACATGGAGATTTTCAGGGTGGTCCTAGACCCCGATATTCTACTAGGCCACCTAAACCTCCACCACTGCAGTTCCAGGGTAGTAGATTTGATCGTCAGGGACAATCAGGCCCAGGTGAGGGTTCACGAGCATTAGGCTCTAATTAACAGAGGGGTTCAGGCCAGGCTAGGACAACCTCACCACGTTGCACTACTTGCGACATGATATATTACGACAGGTGCATAAAAGGTTCCACAGGTTGTTATTCTTGTGGATAGGAGGGGCATGAGTGGAGGAACTGCTCGACCATAGGTCAGGGTGGTATAGGTCAGTCGACCGGGTCAGTAGTAGGTTCTTCCTCATCAACACAGTTTACAAGGCGTGGACCCAAGACTTCAATAGGTAAAGGCATAGGCGAAGGTAGAGAGGAAACATCTAGTCTGGGTAGTGGCCATCACCGTACATATTCACTAGAAGGCTGACAGGACTCAGAGTCATCACTAGATGTTGTGACAGGTGCATTAATTATTTGCTCCCATTGTGTTTATACTTTGATAGATCCTGGATCTACTGTGTCTTATGTTACTCCGTTTATTAAGGGAAAGTTATGTTTAGTAGAAGAGTCATTAGGTCGACCCTTTATTGTATCTACACCAGTTGGTGCGTCTATTATTGCCAAGGGAGTCTATCGAGGTTGTACGGTGGAAATTATCGACCGTCAGACCTATGTAGACCTGGTAGAGCTAGAGATGGTTAATTTTGATGGGTATGGACTTGTTAGCGTCATGTTATCTTTCAAACACTTAAAGGCTACCATACATGCATCATCGAAATTGAATTTCACTTCCTTCTCCAGAATTTTACACAAAAGGTGTGCAATTTTTGAGAAGTCTTTGATGAACCTCCGGTAAAAGCCATCATTTCCCAAGAAACTCTTAATACCCTTCACCGAGATTGGTGGTGGTAGCTTCTCAATTACTTCGATCTTTCCTTTATCAACTTCCAACCCTTTTTGTGACACTTTGTGACCAAGAACTATACCTTCTCTAACCTTGAAGTGGCATTTCTCCCAAATTAGGACCAAATTCTTCTCCACACATCTTTGAAGGACCTGCCCCAAGTGTACAAACCATGCTTCAAAAGTATCACCCATAACTGAGAAGTCATCCATAAAGACTTCCATCGAATCTTCTACCATATCAGCGAAAATAGATAGCATGTAACATTGAAACGTTGCTGGAGCATTACACAACCCGAACGACATACTTTTGAAAGAAAAATTTCCATATGGACAAGTGAAAGTGGTTTTCTCTTGGTCTTCCGGAGCAATAAAGATTTGATTATATCCAGAGTACACATCTGAAAAGCAATACCATCATCTTTCTGAAAGCCGATCAAGCATTTGGTCCATAAAAGGCATGGGAAAGTGATCTTTTGGGTCCATGAGTGTTATTTCTGGTAATCCATGCATTCTCGCCATCTGGTTACCAGTCTCATAGATACAAGCTCTCCCTTTTCATTTGGGACTACTGTGATGCCTCCCTTTTTCGGTACACATTGTACCGGACTCACCCACTTGCTTCCTCAATAGGGTAGATCACACCTACATCTAACCACTTTATTATATCCTTTTTCACCACCTATTGCATCGGTGGGTTCAATCACCTTTGATTCTCAACACTCAGTTTACATTCGCTATCAAGCTGAATTTTGTGAGTGCAAATGTTGGGTCCCAAAATGTCAACGATAGTCCATCCAATAGCTTTGATGTATTTTCTCGACACTTAAAGAAGCAACTTCACTTTCTATTCAAGAAAATCAGCTGCAATGACTACGGGTAAGGTGTTATTTGCCCCCAAGAATGCGTATCGAAGATGAGCGGGGAGCACTTTCAACTCAAGCTTTAGTGGTTCCTCCGTTGATGGCTTGGCAGGTGGATTTTCTCGATTTTTCATATCAATGTCAAGCTTTAATGGATTCCTTGAACATTCCCCCAAACCCAAAAGGGCAGCTACCACCTCATCGTAACCTTGGACTTCGGACTCATGATAGTTTGCAAGCACAGCCTCAAGTGGCTCATTCATACACATCAAATGGCTCACATTAGCCACTACTTCATCAATTGCATCAATAGTCGAAACCACATGAATATTGCTTGGGTGCTTCATTTACTTACACACATTAAAAGTAACTTCATCTTCGTTCATTCGGAACATCAATTCTCCACTTTCTACATCCACCAACGCTCTTCCGGTTGCTAAGAATGGTCTTTCCAAAATAATGAAAATGTAAGCATCAGTCTCACAATCAAGGATGAAAAAATCAACCGGAAAGATGAATTGGTCAACCTTTACCAAGATATCATAGAGTATCCCCATGGGGTGTTTGATTGATCGGTCTGCCATAAGAAGCCTCATTTTTGTGGATTTAGATTCATCCAACCCAAGTTGTTTATAGATGGCGTATGGCATTAGGTTTATGCTTGCTCCCAAATCACATAGGGTCTTGGAAAATTGGAGCATACCGATAGTGCAAGGAATGGTGAAGGCCCCGGGATCTTCTTTCTTTTTAATGATCTCATTAGTCATAATTGCACTACAACTATGAGAGACTTCGATTGTTTTGAAGTCCAAGCTTCTTTTCTTTGTGACTAACTCCTTCATAAACTTGGCATAGCCCGACATCTCCAACAATGTTTCCACTAGTGGGAGATTAATTGATAATGTCTTGAACACCGATAAGAACTTCTTGAACTTCTCATCCTCATTTTTCTTCTTGAGACGTTGGGGAAATGGAGGAGTTATTTTGGGGAGAGGTTGCACCAACTTTGAGGTTGAGGTGCTTTTTCCTGCATCTTTGTGTAACTCTTTGGCATAGCTTTGTTGGATATGTATCTCTTCTTCCTCAATACATTTGTCTTCTTCTTGAGCTTGTGCTTCATCATTACCTTTCATATCACCTACCGCTACCTTTACACTTCGAGTAATCACATCCAAATCTCTATCATCATCCCCCACCAAAGTTGTTATGTGTACAGTTTCATCGTCCCCCATTATATTTGGTTCCAATTGTGCCGAAAGTTGACTCAACTGACCTTTAAGTAGCTTTATTGCATAAACATGAGAGTTCACTCTATTGTTTAATGATAAAAAATCGACTTTAATCCCTTTTGACAAGTCATTTGAGCCCTCAACTTTGTCAAGGATGCGAGACAATAGATCGTCCACTCAGAGACTACTTGCACTCCCATTTGACTTTGGGCTCTCACTCGATTGAGTGTGATCCTCTTAATGATCATCCTCTCTTTTCCAAGGATCACTTTACTCATCCCATTCTTGATAGTATCTTCTCCGCTCTTCTTCTTTGTGAGAGTTCCAACCTTGATTTCCACCCCACTGCAAGTAGCGTGGGTGGAAACCTGCCTCAAATCTGTGAGAGTTCCAACCTTCATTCTCCCCTAGCTTAGAATAGCTCGAGGAAGAACCCTCCTCAACTCTAAACACTCCCCTTGCTCCTTTGGATTTTTCCACATTTTCTAAAACTAGAGCTTTCTAGCAGCTCCATTTGGGATAACATCTTGTTGATGTCCTCATCCCTTTCTCTTTCTTTATCAAGTTACACTTGAGTCATTCTAAGGCAAAAAGGCGAAACTTGCTCTTCTTGAGTGTACCATGCTTGATTTATTTTCGTCATGTCATCAAGAAGAAATGAAGCCACCTCAAACTATTACAACATTATTCCATCTCGAACCAATTGATTAGCTACTCCTTTATTTACTGAATCAAGACTTCGGTAGAAGTATTGGATCATCACATTGTTTGGAAGTCCGTGAGTTGGGCATTGAAGTAGAACCTTCTTGAACCTCAGCCATGTTTCATGGATAGGTTCACCTTCCAATTGCTTGAAACCATGAATGTTGTCTCTGAGTTTTATCATCCTTGATGGGGGGAAAGAACCTCACATTGAATTCCATGGTAAGCTCATCCCAAGATGTGATGGAATTCTTTGGTAACTCAGCCAGCCATTTGCTAGCTTCGCCCATTAGAGATAATGGGAATAATCTGAGATCGATTGATTCTTGTGATACATTCTTCAATGAGAACAGACCACAGACCTTTATAAAATTCCGCATATGCTCATATGGGTCTTCGCGAGTCAACCTTCCGTACAGTCCCTTCATTTGCAAGAGATGGAGAGTTGTGCTAGTAACATGGAATATAGCATTCCTTTCGGTTGATGATAGACAGATTGCACCAATTCCACTCAATTGGATTGGGTTGTGCACACTATTGAGATCGTCAATATCACCTTGGTGGCCTACTTGTCTACCGTTAGTCCCTGCCTCACTCATTTCCTTTTCTGTTCAACACAAAAAACACAAAACACAAAACAAATCAAATTGATTCCACTTCAGCCAGCAAAATCACAAATCAAACTTCAATAAGAGAATTCTAAACAATACCACTCCCCGGCAGCAGCGCCATTTTGATTAATGTATCAACTACACCTCATTCGATACTAGGTGTAGACGATCGTTAAGCAGTATAAACCCAATAGAAGAGTTGGGGTCAATCCCACAGAGAGTAGTTATATTTTGAATTAGAATATGAAGTTACAATAGTGATTTTTGTAGCTAAAGGACTAGAGATTTTCGGAAACTATTTATGAAACTTTAAGGGTGACAACGATGTCGGGGTGAAGGATTTTTAAGATCAGAAAACAGCCTCAACAAGTTACTGAGATCAATCAAATAGGAAAAAGGTACTTGGGGGATTGACCAACCAATTGCTAAATTTAACTCAATGGGTGCAAACTGCTAACCAAAAGTACTAACTCTTCATGGCGTTGGATAAACTTTAGGTGATGCACTTTTCTTTCGAACAACTACCCAGTTTCAATTGAGTTCTCTCAAACCTCAACACTTTAAACATAAAGACCAGTCCACAACCTCACCACATCCACTCTCTCGAGTTGAATACATAGCATGAGTCTTAGGATTCACTCTCTCGAGTTGAATCCATCATGACCCACTAACTATGAGGGCCAACTTATCACTTTAGCTTTACACTTCTTTATCAAGCAAGCATAAAACACTAAATTATATTGAAATAAACATGCAATAGAGTAGTTAAACCACAATGATAAGTCAGGACCACTTTGGATTAGCACTAAAATTGGTAATAACTAACACCCATAAAGCCAAATTCAGCAATTAATCACATTGTCGAACCCCCAAGATTGGGGTTTTAGCTATTCATTATAAAAGAAATAAATTTAGTACCTAATACATGCTCTATAGTTGGGTATTGAAAATCGAAGTTCTAAGATGAATGATATCTTTTCTATTACAATACCCAATTGAAATCTCTTGCCAAAATTAATTAAAATCAACAAGAATAGTGTTTTTGTTCTCTCTATTTTGTTCCACACTGACTGAATGCCTTTTCTCTCTTCCAAAAGTCAATTTATACTGATCTGAGATATGGCTTTTTAGGGTTGGTCGGCGAGGAAAGTCGGCGACTCGCTGATCGTTCTTGTCCATCACCCCTTTCTTTTTCACATCTTCCTCATTCAGACACTATAACTTTAGGCGATCTAGATTGGAATCGCGATCACTTCCGCGATGCTCCTTTTAGTCTTTTAGCTCACCAATTAAATTTCATCTTAGTCTTGATCTATCCATTCGGCGGTACACTCTTCCTTCGCCGATGCAGTCAGCGTTCACCGATAGAGAACGCAGTTTGCCTAAGTTTTTCCCATTTCAGGCTCAGCGTTCTGTAAAATTAGGTAGTCTATGGGAAAATCGGCGATTTGCCGAGTTTTCTTGGCCATCGTCAGGCTTGTTTTTCTCCCATTTTTCAGCCTGTGTTGTTCCTTTTTGCCTGTTAGTGTCCTTGCTTTGTTCCTCAATCCATATGCCTGAAAATCAAGGATTTAACATCAGTTTATGGCACAAATTAGGCATTTGAGGACACTAAATCTATATAAACAAAGCCCCAAATGTGTTAAAATCTCAGACTCATCATGTATTCGTTTCTCTCGGTTATGGCATGATGTTCTTAGTTTTTGGACATAAACTATTCTGTTTATTTATTCTAGTGTCTTTGATACTCTTAGATTTATTATTTGGCAATTAGATGTCCTTGATATGATAACTTTCAGGTTTTGGGATAATATGTAATAGACTTTAGAGGTTTATTTATTGGTATTTTAATAAGTTTTGAGCTTTCATATTATGTTTGTTATCCGTAGTTGAACAATTGATATATGTTGGGATTGAATTTGTTGGTTCGCCCAACTAGGAGGTTAAGTGTGGGTGTCACTCATGACTCGTTTTGGGTTGTGGCATACATGATATAATGACTACATGTATTATACTGCACAACATCAATAATCGAGAATAAGTGGGATCTTAATGTACTAATTCAAGATACTTCAGATGCTTCAACTGCAACGGTAGAAATGGTGGTAGATGAAAATCTTCAGTTTGAACAACTTTTAGTTAGTCTTAAAATATTAAGGATAAAAATGCTCATTTTGAACTTTGCACGCATCAGAGCATTTATGGGAGCAACGTAATAATCTTGAAAGTTGGGTATTTATGTAATTGTATTTCAATAATGAATTCAGTTTTATTTAAATTGTTCTAAATATGTATAATATATAATATTTGTTTGCAATTTATGTTATTTAGGGCGTGTTGGAAAGTCACCTTGATAATTAGATTTGGTGTAATTGAGTGTAATTACATTGTCTGACGTGTTTGGCTGGCCATGTAATTACTTGTTCAGTAGGTAATTTGGTGTAATTGGTAGGGAGTAATTACACTCACCAATCATCAGGGAGGGTTGTGAGTTTCTGGTAATTATATGGTGTAATTACAAGTTGATTACTTTTTAATATCTATTTTTATTATTTATTTTTTATTTCTATTATTTTAGTTTTTTAGTATTATCTAAAACTTTCTAATTGTTTATTTTTTTATTTTTTATTATTTATATTTTCATTTCCTTCTCATTCTCAACATTTACTTCATGTGATTCCATTCAATTTTTCATACTATATATTTTTAAATTCATGTTTATTTTTTTCATTAACATATATTAGTATTTAAATTTTTAAATTAAAGTAGAATTGATTGTTGATTAAGGTTATAGACTTACGTTTTCTTTTTCTTTTAATTCATATTTATGTATGTTATGCCAAAATTTGACATAAGAGTATTATGTTAGAATTTTTTTGTTTTGAATTTAGAACTTATGTTATATTTCCAGTTTCATTTATTTTAATACTACTGACTTGAGACTTCATAGTGCAAGTCATTTGTTTTTTGGTTAGACATGATAGATTATCTTTTGTCAATTTTTTTAATAATTTATGACATTTTATTTATAATATTAATTTTTTTTGTCAAACATGCATTTCATTGTGTTCATAAAAATTTGTACTTTTAGTTTTTATGATTAATTCAATTGATTTATCCTAATTTAAAAATACAAAGCAGATATTTTTTTTTCGTAATGTTAGTAAAGAAAATATTTTTATTAATTAATATATTTTCAGAAGACAATACACATCTTAAATATTTAATTTATCATTTATAAAGTTTTTGTTTTTCTAATATACATTTTATATAATTAAATTTTATTTTTAAAATTTAATATAATCTTATGATTGCAATTGTGCATCCAAACAATATAAATGTATTTATACTGTCATTACACTGTGACAAACAAACAAGTTACTGTAATTACTAGGCTGATTACTGATTTTATATATATATATATATACATATATATATATATGTGTGTGTGTGTGTATCTATATGTATGTATGTATGTATGTATGTATATATATATATATGTATGTATGTATATAATAATAGAAATTTACTTTGTTGGATTGTTGGAAGCAGATGAGCCCGTGCAAGCATCAGAACATGCATTCTCGCGATCTATAGAGTCCTTATGGCTAATAATAATAATAATAATAATTGTTACGGCCCGATTTCAAAAACTAAAGGTTTCGAAACCTTTTCGCAACTTTGGCGAAT